TTTTTTTATCCCCCCAGTTTCTCTCTGCTATCAGAAGATGAAGCATTTGAATGTGGATTTTCCCTGCCACAGCTTCCTACCTGTGTGGGCAAGAGATCCCTGGCCCGGAACGTGGGACCCTTGGATCCTCTCTGACCTGAACGAGCACTACAAGTGAGATGCCACACTCTGCCCTGACTTCGATGGAGAACCAGCAGAAAGCAAGACCGCCAGTCAGCTCCGCCACTCACACAAATCTTCTAATAATTAGCAATCACTGGGGGAAATACAGGAAATCGTAAGTAGGTTAAATTGCTTTTTTGTTTTAATGCTCTTTGTTTGCCCTTGTTCTGGTTTGGAAAGCCCCCCCCCCACCCCGTGCCGTGAGGCTGCACTGCAGCCTTCGGTACAATTAAAGGCTCGGGAAGAGACTAAGGCTGAAAGAGCTCTCTCAGACAGAGCCTTTTAATTTTAGGGGTGGGTGAGCTGGGGCTCTGTAACACACTGAGTGGGGAGAAACACTGTGCCTCAGACAGTAAGGTAGCATGTGGGGTTTTCCAGCCGCCCAGAAGATGATCTTGTGCATGTTCAGAGAAATGAACTTTGGAGGTTTTCTCTGCTCTGCTTCCAAATTGCCTAGGTAACTTGTTTTTTTCTAATAAAGCCAAAGATAATGAAGTTTTGCTGCTCAGTATCATAAAATGCCTGGCAGCATGATGAAACTCTAAGTGGCTATAAATAGAGAGATGGGGTGAAGGCCAAGTACTGATGGAGTGCAGACCAGAGGTTTGGGCAGGTGATCAGATCCAAAGAGGAGCCAGAGAGGAATAAGGAAAGGAATAAGAATTTTGCATCTGGGCAGAACCTGAGAAGTATGGATGCAAAGGTTGACTGTAGCCTTCACGCCTGGCAGAGTCATCCATTTTTTTTCTTCAACATTTATTGAATAAGTACTATGTGCCAAGTGTTGTACTACATCCAGGGGCTACTTAGGAGAATAACATGTGGTTATTATCTACAAGAATATGGATACAGAAATGTAGGAACTGATCATTATATCCAAATAGGATCCAAATCAATTAAAAATATAGAATACAAGTAAAAACTGGCACTTGCCATCTGTCTCTACAAGGATTAAGTCACAAGTGACGGCAGCTGCTGACCTTCAACACACCCTGAAAGGAGTTCAGGGTGGAGATTAGGAATGAGGCAGGCACTCTGTGCTCTGAGTAAAACTGGCAGAACAGATATTTTCAGGAGAGGATTTTATGGGCCCAGATTCTTGCATCGTCTCACGTTTAGAAGAGTAGTAAAATCATTAACAGAGACATCTGCTCCTCATGACTAGTGACAACGTCCTCATGCCTAGCAGCAGGCCTCTGCCGAGATGCGTGCCTGACTGCACGCGCCCTCCATGTACTGCTGACCCTCCCCCTACCTGCCTGAGATGCTGTCTCCCGGGCCTACAGTCCTCATTTCGCCCGATGGAAAACTTAACTCTCACGTGTGCATTTTCTTCAGCCAACACTGCCAACCTTGAAGGTATGGTGACGTTTTCATAACTTGTACATGGGAGAGAAGGGTTTGAAAAATATTAAGGGCTAAAAACGAAGCATTAAAGTTGTATGCCCTGTGTTTTAGTCTAACAGACACAAGCATAAATACTGACTCCTACTTTCTCTCTCTCTCTACACATCTCCAGAATTCCAGTTGAAAGATTTTAAGGAAATAAGTGAGATGAGAAGAGTAGACCGATCTACTGGAATATCCATCTGCAGCACACCCATGAAAAGTGATCTCCTGAGGAATATTTTCAGGTAAATTGGAACCATGAGAAATGATGATGATTCTAAGTAGAGAGGTTGTCAGTATGCTGCTTGAGCTTTTGTTATTTAAAATTAACAATTTCATTGTGTATTACATTCTAAAGTAGCTCTAATGTAAAATGCAACTATATTAGCTATCAGAGAGTTCGACGGTCTCCTAGTTACTACTTTCTATATAGAATACCAGCTAACTCCTTGAAGGGATTTGAAACAGCTGCACCAATGACCTCATCAATATCAAATAATAATCTGCTGAAACCTCCAAAATAAGCAGATAGGTAATATGATAAACTGCAAAAATGGACACAGTCTTTCTTCCCTCCATTTGCACTATAACTATGATGCTCTTCTCAGTGAGAGGGGGGAGTCCACTTTCTACCCCTTGACTCTGGTTGGATGCTGGGATCTGCTTTGGCTGTAAGAATGCGGTAGAATGAAGATGTGCCAGTTGAGTCTAGGACTCTACAAACTTTGCGTGCATGGCTCCCCCAGCCCCACCTGGCTGCCACAGGCATGTGGACAATCTCTAACTGGCTGCTGGAGGTTAAGAGACCACATGGAACTAAGACCAATATGGTTTACCCATTCCTTACCCCAATTAGCTGCGAACTACTGATATTTCAGTGAACCTAGCTGAGAACAACAGAAATCCATAGCTGAATCCAGCCCGAATTGCCAACCTACAAAATTGTTTATTATGTAAATAGTTGTTTTAAGCCGCTAGATTTTAGAATAGTTTGTTACACAGTAATAGCTAACTGCTACAGGAAATGAACAGATGAACCACAGAATAGATTTCTCTAGATAAAGTAGCTTTACCTGCCAAATCTATAAAATCAGTAGCAAATAGAACAACATTGTAAAAATACCCATGAAATCTTACTAAAACCAAGAGAACTAGAGCAATTTTGGTAAGTAACCTCACAGTTATATGCACTGAAATTATATTTTTCCTGATTATTTACATAGTAAAATTTCCAGTAAAAATATTTTTCATTGCTCTTACGAACAATCATTATTGTTCCTAATCAAGTAACCCAGAAATAATGTAATAAATTACATAAAAATGTATGTCCAGTTTTTAAATTTAAATGTTCAATTTTCTTTATAGCAAATGAGAAAAATCCTTTCTTCAGTGTAGATAACTCTTCCTAAGCAAATAGTAGATCAGTGTACAGACGTTGTAGTAAAAGAGCAAGTTCTAATCCTAGTCCTAACAAACTATGAACTATTAGTCAATCCATTTTTACCTCTGTTGTCTCACCCATGAATGAAAGTGAATAAAGCCTCTGTCCACCAGCCTTAGATAGTGGCTATTAAGATGAAATGAGATGGTTCATCTTACAATACTTCATAAAACATAGAGCACTGTGTAAGGTGATATCACTCCATTACATCAGGGGAATAGCCTTTCTTCTGGGCTGAATAAACACAGAGAGAAAGGAGAAAGAACTAGTCCCTATTAAAAATTAATCACTTTATTTGTTGAGATACAGAAAGCACTCCCTGGCCCTCCCCTGAGAAGTTGAGGGGAGACCGTCTGGTGGCCCCTCCAAGCATTTCACAATCAATCTCACGTTTCATTAATCAGCCGTGGGCATTTGAAAAGGCCACCTGTCCTCTTCTAGTTGTTTCTTAAAATGAAAAATGCTGCCCTGGGTGACTCTTTGATGATTAATTTGAATATTTATTACACTATTTCTCATATTGTCATCAATCCCTCCACCAATATATAAAGTCAAAGGAGGCTTATAAAAATGTTATGTTCAGTAAAGACAACAAGGGGGAAGGAAGGGAGGAGAGCTGGGGGAGAGAGAGAGAGGGGAGAGAGGGCAAGTGTTTTTGGAGCAATAAACTTTTCAAATGCATTTCTCCTGGTAAATCATGGTTTTTAATTTTTAGGAGAACCAGTTGTTAACTATGGATCTCATGACTTGCTTTGTTTTTTAACTGTTAGTTTATCTGTTTACCTCTGAATGAAGTCCTGATCAAATTGCAGTTTGGGTTTCTATGTCCACAGGGACCATTTTCCATTGCCCTATAGCAGGGTTGTGTGCTGAGCCCTTACTCCCAACCAGCTGTGATAAGAGTATGTGAGCCCAGGGTTTTGTGTTCTCATATTCTCCCTTCTCACTGTCTCCCTCCCTCCCAAGTTCCAGATTCCTTGATTTCTTTAACTGTTCCAAAAGATTTGCCTAAAGATTAGTAAAAATAATACTCCAAATTAACGTCCCTGGGAAAGTTCACAAAGATTCATTGTAACAATCGCTCAAGTGACCACTGATAAATCCTCTCTGAAGGTAGCATATCATAGACTGGAGGCATTTACGAAATTTAGATTACCCTAATGGAAAATTGAGAGAAGGACAATGACAGTGAGAGTGGTTTTGGTTCTAAAGATGGACTTAATAGATATCACAGTTGGGGCAAGGGATGACCCCAGATAGGAGGTAATATGGATGGATCAAATTAAAACAATTTCCAATACAGGAACAACAGCTCAAAGAGGATGCTCATAATTGTGAATCATCCAAGCCATTTTGGTTGACACCACAACGTAGAGCTTAGCAGCTTCTGGAATCCACTTTACAGCCCAGTCATTACCTGGCACGGACCCAGGTCTCAAGCTTCATCTCCAGTGGATTAGAAGTCTGCCTTCAGTTACATCTTGAGTACTTTCACTTTATTTTATGGGGGAAGGAGAGCTAGGGAAAAGTCAAATCACATATTGGTCCAAAAGGTTAAATCTCCAGCAGAGATTTAAAGGCAATGGGAGAGAAGGGTCCTCTGAGGGTATTTTGTGTGAGATGACCTGGAACAGATCCTCTGACTCACAATAACCAATTACTCCCTACACCTTGCTCTTTTTGAGCAGAGAGTATCAACAATTGCAGTTCCTGCAGGATTCAGTCATTTTAGCAGACACCCAGATGTGAAATGGGTGCTGATTACGCTTGGCACGTGAATAAGATATTCTTCTTACATATGATGGAAGAACAATTCCAAATTCAAGGTACGGAGGCTCAAGGAAATAAATCAAAACCAAACAAAGCTCCCATGTTTGTTAAAATTTTGGTAACTGAATCACATCTAGCCCTTCTTTCGGCTGCTCTAATAGCTGCCAATTAGAAGGAAACTCTAGCCTCTCTCTTGTATCTGAGCAGTAATCTATAGGGTAATTACATGAGCCCTGTGGTGAAAGTTTAGCTAACAAGCTTTTTTCTGCAGGGTGAAAAATTTATTATTTTGCTTGTGGCAAGGTCTCACTATGATATCAAAAAATGAAT